CATAAAATACAAGATGATTCATTTTATAAAGCTTTGTAGAAAGGTTTGGTTTCATTTAAAGCTTGAATCTAGCTAGTTGTAGTGGTACAGGCCTGTAATCCTAGTACTTGGGAGGCTGAGGCAGGAGAATCATGAGTTTGGGGTCAGCCTGGGCTACATAGTAAGACTCTTATCTCCAGAAAAATCAAAACCAAACCAAAACAAACAACAGTAACAACAACAAAAAATCCTTGAGTTTAACCTATATTTTCTAGTTTTTCTCAGTTTTGATATAATTTCCAGCAAAGTTTTAGCTCTTTGTTTTGTTTTTGAATCATGCCCTTGCAGTTGATACTGCAGAGTCTTAGGAGGCAGGGCCTTTACCTGATAAGTAGATGTCAGGATTCTTGCACTGGAATGGCAGTGTCTGTCAGACCTCCTCAAGTGGGACAGTGTGCACTTTGCTCTTTCGCTTACTTCCTGTACAGATAGAGACATCTTACGCTGCCTGAGTCCTAGCTTCCTGCTTTTTTTTTTTTTTTTCTCATTTACTTTTCAGGGTCTGGCTTCTATAATTACACTTTTGGATTCAGGTTAAACACTGTTATTTTTGGCTGTAAGAGGGAGATCTAGAAGACTTCTTGACTGATAGGCCTATACAATTCTCTCATTCTACATTTTAACAAATCCTTGGCAATATGGGTTACTAAGGCCACATTATTTTTCTGAAAAATATCCTGACTAGTTGAAGTGTTCTATGAGGTGTGAAACATGAATAAAACAAAGGTAGGAAAAGCACATTCATGTTGTGATATCTTTTCTTCACTTACTCTCGTTTAGTCGCTTGAGATATATGATAGTTTGACTCATTAGTATGAGTCAGTTAGATTCATTGTAGTTAAAATATCAGGATGGGTTGTGCTAAATTGAAATTCTGGAATTTTACTAACCTGATCATAATCAGTTTAGTGGTGCCCTCATAATCTTTTGGATGACTCAAAATCTGATCTGGAGCTGCTGCTTTATCTCCATCACATTAAAAGATGGAAACGATGAGTTCAGTGACATGACTTATTCTGCTTGCCACCAGGTGGTGAGTTCTTAGGGAAAGGGAGGAACGGCTGCATGTAGGAAGGAGGCATGAAGGTTGAGGAGTACTCAGTCATCTCAACGTAATCCTGCTCTTTGGGCATCTTAAATTAATGAAGGGAGAAGAAGTTACGAAAAAGACTTATGAGTGCTTTTGAAAGCACTTTTCAGGATGATAAAATTAAGGTTCTAAGAGCTAGAAAGAATACTGGAAGTCTGGCTGTCCTGTTTTCAGAGACATAATATCCTCAGACAAGCTCAAATGGCAGCATAGCTCGCACCCAGGCAGTGCATCTTTGATGCAAAGACAAAAATCTAGGATTCTTGGATATTATCATCTCTTTTTGAGTTCTTATGAGAGTAACCTAAGAATCGTTTTCTGAGGAATAGTTTTTTCTCTGTGATCACTTCGTTTAATGTCTGTGAGACCACTGCACTTGTAGAGAATAAGGACACTACTTCACCCAGCCTAGAAACTGCAAATATAGAATGGAGTGGTGGGGAGAGGAGTGTGGAAATGGAACACCTTGTATTGTATAAGAAAGATATTTTTTAAATTGACTAAAGTCTAGTGGAATGTTTCCTTTAAAATGTTTTTCTGCTTTTTTTTTCAAAGATTTTGTAAATTTGAGGTAGAAGTTTAAAGGGATTTCTCAGCTGCACTATGTTATACTTTTTTTTTAAGCCTCACAGACTTATTTGGTGTTTCTGTACATTCTCTATTTTTGATGTTAGGCACATATATCTCGGTGTATGTAATAACTATGTTTTGCCTTTGTATATGAGTGCTTTTGGTTTGTGCTTAAATTTTTTATATAGATTTTGCAAGTAAAGCCATTTTTAGAGCTCTAACAAGGAAACTCTCTACTCTCTAATATGAGTAGAGAACTGTGTATGTGATTCTAGTCTAGAGCTCCTTAAGACGTGTTTCATTCTAAAGCCATCTTAGTAATTTCCACAATTCTCTGAGCTGACTGGGTCAGATGTCCTTCTTCTCCCTGGACACCTAAATACAACATTCTTTGTCTTGCAAAGTCACCCTGTCCAGATAAGTTCTTCATAAGGTTGCTTAAATTTTAAGTGACTCATAAAGTGTTAAATGTAATTCCTCACATGTGGTAGCCAGACAATGAATGTTAGCTGCTTTTTTATTGTTGTCACTATCATTATTGTAATATATGCCAACTACAAGGAAAGCAATATCGATACCAGGAAAGTGAGGCTTTTGGTGGCACATTCAAAACAGGTGTAATCAATAACTTTGGATCTTGAATTGTAGACAGGAAAAACTAAGAAATATATACAGTTTACTACATGACTCAAGTAGATGGAATAACTGAAATTCTTGAGCAAAAAGATAAAATCACTAATAATGTTTGTGGGAAAACTGATTTTGGTTTCATATTATTTAATAATGTGACCAAATATAAGAGTCTGTGGAGGACTAGTGCCTAGTATGGAGCTCATTTGACTGCTTTACGAGTGTTGGTTGAATGAATCAGATAGATTGAGACTTTATTGTGGAGGTCTGATTGTGAATATTACTTAGTAATCAGTGAGAAGCTCTTTAAGAATTTTGAATGGGAAAATTATGTAATCTGTTGCCTGCTTCAGCTGGAAGGAAATGTGCAAAAGACCGTATTTGATGACAGGACTATGGTTAAGTTCCTTCTCTAAGGTTTCTGAGGACCCTTCATAAAGTTTCTAAGAGCACTTCTGAAGGTGGTAGTGGCTCTGTACAGGTGGGGAATGGAGTGAGGCAGTGAATATGAATCTGGGAGGGTGACTATGTACTTTGAAAGAGAGCTCCCAAGAAATTACCCTTCTCGGGGATCACTATGTTAGCGAATCCTTGAGTGTTAAAACCATAGAATTTAGAGCTGATATTAACATAGAGATCCTCAGATCTAACCCTCATATCATGGAAGAGATCAAGTGAATTTTTCAAGACTTGACACAGGACTTCTAAATCCTAGTCCATCCCTAATATATAATACATTAAATTTTTTAGGAAAACAATATAGGTGAACAGAATATTAGGGAGGGCAAATCTACATGTCTGTCTTCCCTGCTCCAATGTAACTTTTCCAAAAAGCCTAAATATTTTCACATTATCTTGCTATTCTTTTAAAAAAATTCTACCACTAGTTATATATGTAGGTTAAAAAATATTAAAATGTCACCCCAGGGGTAAATTACTAAATTATTTTGTTATATTTCCTCACCAATCTCTTAAAAAAACATACCTTTAAAATTAGAATTCTCTTGTTGTATAGCCTTTTAAAAACAGTGTGCACATTTGCTTACATATTTAAATCTTGTATGATAAAAACATTTTAAATGGGTATGTAGTAGCATTTCTATATAGATGTGCCACATCACATATGATTAAACCTCTGTCACTAGATAGTTCACAATTTTTCAAGTAAGCACTTGTGTTATTAATGCATTTGGTTCTGGAAGACCAGAGCCTTTCATTTATTCACATAGTAGTTTGAATTATCATTCTCTGTTTTCTCAGAGCAGCTAGTTAGGGAGTGAAGGTTGTGATTTGGCATGAAACACTGCAGGAGATGAGTTGGGGAAAGGCTGCTTGTGAAGGGTGAACTTGTACATAGGCAGTTTGGAGCCCAGAAGAAGTATAGAAGAAGGTTGCTGAACTGGAGTAATTTCAATATATTTGCATAGAAATGGCTTTTTTGTTTGTGTTTAGCCTACATGACCTTTGCTTCAAGTCTTAAACTCAGGCTATTTTAAGAGGTGTATGGTTCTTCCACATAGTTGATATACAAAACATTGGTTAAAAGGCTGGGCACCAGAGTCCCTCTTCCTCTTACTACTTTCCAAGTTCCGACCTAACCACTTATCAGCTTTTGAACATTATGGATTCTGGACTAATAAGATGTTTTTTTTTTTCAGTTGAATAAAATTGAAAGGGAAGACATTGGCAAGATATTCTATTGGTTAGTAGAATGTCATTAGGAAAGAACAAGACATTAACATGACTTAAGGGATAAAAGCTTCAAAAATGGGGAAATGAAGCTGGGTATGGTGGTACACACCTGCAGTCATTGCTGAGGCAAATGGTGAGTTCTAGGACAGCCTGGGCTACAGAGTGAGACCCTGACTCAACACAACACATGCACATGCTTGAACATACACTCACATGAAATGAGGAGTTGTTGCTGGTCTGTAGAAAAACTTGAAAGATGACACCAACAAACACGTACTACCTTTCAGGAACTTGTGCTGTGAGCTGTGGGATGACACAAATACACTTGCAATTTGTAAATAGTCTAAAAGTCCTTGTCATAGCTGGGAGTTTCATGTATTGCTTAAAACAGTTGTATCCATCTGTACTTCTAAACTATAAAATGCTTGGCCAGCATTTCACATGTTCTTCCTTTAGTTGAAAACAATTATATAGGGGAGGGAAGATGAGACTAAAAAATGAGGTCTTCATTCTGCTACTTTGTGACATTGGACAGTGTATTTCATTTCTCTGGTTTCAAACCTGTAAGTAACAGGATAATTAAAATTGGTTTAGATAAAATTTGAAGTTCCTTTTGAACATAAAGAGTCTATTTCTAAAACAAAAAATGATTTGTGAAGTAGAATTGGCTATATTTTCTTGAAAGATCATGCAAAATGCTGATCTTGTAGGTGCAGGTAGCTTTAAGTATAGCATCTTGAAGGTGTCCCTCTATCAACTGAAGAACAAATGTCTCCATTTAATGTATGACTGTGTCAGAAAAAAAAATGCAACCACAGTAGGTGACCAAAGGGATAAGTAACTTTCAGGAATTTTGAAAGCCCAGTAGTATTTAGTATATGCTCTCTCAGCACTAAAAAGGTCACCTTGCTAATACATGTTAATTTTGAAAGTTTAATTGACCTTTGGAATTTTAATATCAACCTTTTTTGGTGTTTAGAGGTTGGAGCAATCACAGAAGAAACCGAGGCCTGTGATTGGTGGAGTTTGGGTGCTGTCCTCTTTGAACTTCTCACTGGCAAGGTAAGCAGTGACCTGGGCATTTAATAAATTTATCCAGATGCTACCTTGATATCAAATTGAGAAAAGGCAAATGCTAGCCTTTGCCTTTAATTTTTAGGTCAGGGACTAAGTAAGAAAAGCTTTGACACCAGAAACAAGCAGAGATATGCAAGTTTACCAAGATTCCAGTTTTTTCTTGAAAAGTAAAATTGTATTACATTGAATAAATTGATGGTAAAATTCTGATATATTATAGTGTTATGTAGTGAGACAGAAAACTAAACATTTCTTCCCCTTCCTTTTCTGACTCAGATTTATACAGAATCAGATCTGTAAGTTTTATAATAGGTACATATTAAAATTCTCTAGATGTTTTAAACATCTGAAGCTAGAAGGGAAATTTTCATTTTATGAAAATTAATGTTGATATTAAAACTAACATCTTTTTTTCTCAATACTATAAACTTCCTATCTGTTCTAGCTTAAGAACAGAATTTATATTCTCTCAGATCAATAACTTTTAAGTGTGATGTCTGAGGTTAATAGACTTTAATAGTGGATATTTACTTCGTGGGAAGAACACAGAGGAAGTGAGTACTTAGCTTTTGTAAGTATTGCTGTAAATGTGTAAATTCCAGTGTAAGATTATTGTGGAGTTTACAAATCTCTTGTATATACACTTAAACTGTGAAGTGCTATACAGCTATAAAAATATAACTAACAAATTCTGAACTGAAGGTTTTTGAGAAATTAAGTTATTTTAGAGTTATAAAGTCCCTTTTTAGTTTTTGTGTGTAGTCTACACTTTTCTGATATTAGCCATTCATTGAAATAGCGAAGGGGAAAGGACAGCTGCATAAGCTTATGGTGTAATCCTGATGATCCTCTGCCCAGAGGCTCTAGGCTCCTAGCCCTCAGCCTGAATGTTTAGGTGTCACTGTGCTGATTACTGCACCTCCAGTTATGAGAGTTATTGATCTCTCTGTACTTGCTGTCTATAAATCCTTGGTAGAACAGAGTATGATGTTATTTAGGATAAGAAATGTATCTGATTAATTGTTTCAGACTCTGGTTGAGTGCCATCCAGCAGGAATAAATACTCACACTACGCTGAACATGCCAGAATGTATTTCTGAAGAGGCTCGCTCACTTATTCAACAGGTAATTTAATTGACCTATTGGCCAAGTATATCAACTGTGCAGCTTAGCAGAGCCCACAGCTCCAAAGCCTTGAAGAAGTTAGTTTGGGGAAAGAAAGACCCCTTTATAATTATATATTCAGAATGAATGCTGCATGTCTTTAGGGTTCTCCTACTATCAAAGTATTGGTGGGGTCAGAAAAGATAGTCAAGACTTGCTGGTTTTAATAAACAAAATTTTTTCAAAAATCAATTTAGTATTTAGTCAGTTCCACATATTTGTATAGGTTTGAGATTTGAATGTTTGTAGCTTATCTGAGCTGCTGTGTTTTTGCTGTTGTATTTTGTAACCATGTATGAATGACTGTTTTCTTTTAGTTCTTACTTATAAGCAATGATAATTACACTGGTTGCTGAGAATGTTAGAAAATCTTATCCAGTTAAATCACTCTTATAGCTTCATCAATGGGTGAAACTTGGACTTTAATGTCAATTAGGACATTTCTAGTGGCTTTGAAGAAAGTGACTTGATAAAGTTCAGTGTCCCAAAGTCAGACTTAGACCTCTAAGAGCATCTTAAATTTATTTCTTATATTTAAAATATAGGTTGAGTATCCCTTATCCAAAATGCTTAAGACCAGACTATTTTTCAGATGTCAGAGTTTTTCAGATTTTAAAATATTTGCATAGATTTCATTGCTTGAACATCCCAATTTGAAAGTCCAAAATTTGAAATGCTCTAAAATCTGAAACTTTTTGAGTTGTCATGTCAGCACTCATAAAAGTTTCAGATTTCAGAGTGTTTTGGATTTTTGGATTACAGATACTCAACCTGTACTCCCATAGTCTTAACTAGTGAGTTTTACTAAGTACACTGAGAGTTGTTAGTTGCTATGGGTGATAGGCTCACAGCAAATTAGAAAAAATTGCCAGGCCTTCTAACATCCTGACACTTTTATAAAAACATAAAAGGAAAGGCCATTTGAAAAAGAACAAAACCCAAAATTGTTTAATGAAACAATGGACTTTTTTTAAATCAGGGAAAACAAAAATTACAAGAAAAAGAGGGAGGCATATATTAAGAGGAGAATTACCACTGGACACAGTGGTTCAAGCCTGTAATCCTAGCTGCTTGGCAGAGAACAGGAAGATCACAGTTTGAGGCCAGCCTAGGCAAAAAGTTCATGAGATCCCCATATCAACCAATGGCTGGGTGTGGTGGTATGCACTTGCAATCCTAGCTGTGCTGGGAAGCATAAATAGGAGGATCACAATACATGCTGATCTGGGGATAAAGTGAGACTCTACCTCAAAAAATAAAGCAAAAAGGGTGGAGGCACCTGCCTAGCAAGTATGAGACCCTGTGTTTAATTTCCAGTGCTGCCAAAAAAAAAAAAAAAGAATTACCATATATATTATAGACTCTTAAAGGTAACAATTTTGGTTCCATTCAACAACTGTGCAAGGCATAGTGCTAAAAGCTACAAAGGTAAGACTAATGGATAACTGTACTATAAGATAGAACTTGATAAAGGATGTCAAAGAGATTTAGAAAATACTTTGGTAAGTCAAGAGAATGATGGGTTATAGTGAATAATTTGGTAGTATTAGGGAAGTTTTTGTGGAATGGATGTTATTTTGCTGGACCTTAGACATTCTTTTGGTAGGGCAAGGTTGGATGTGAGGTGAATAGCTAGGTAGGATGAATGATTTGACCAGAGGCAAGGAAGACATTGGAAAGACCCAGTTTAAGAAATGAAAAGCTTGGTTTATCTGGAGTGGAATAATAACAGCAGGTGAGTGTAGAGAGATAAGTTGTTTTATAAACACAGGGTGGAGTGATAGAACTCAGAACATGTGAGATTTGGCGTTCTATAGAAAAGTGAAAGGCTCAGAGTTGGCCTCAGGAAGATTAGTTTTCCCAGACTATGTAAAATATAAAGAATCATAATCAGGTTAGAAATACTGAAAGTAGAATACCCAGAGCCCTTTGGATTGGGGATTAAGAGCTAATGAAGAAATTCATAAAACATTTCTAGTGAAATTGATTTCATCTTATTCATTGTGGCACAAGGTAAATTCAAAGTATTTGGGGGGGTGTGATAAATTATTTACGAAAGGCTAACAGCTATTGCTTTTTGTTCCTTTTCCTTAGAAAAATAGTCATTATTGTGTATACTGAAAAGAGAACTCTCTATAATAATTTGTCAAATTCTGTGCCTGTATTTATTACAAATTATGTTGTAAAGGAGTCTAGACTTAAGGTGTGTCCAGTCCTCAAACAGAGGTACGTAAAGCATGTGTAGTAAATCAGCTTGCTGTCAAGGAAACTACCACTCATGTTGAGGAAGCATCATCAGGAAAGGGAAAAGGGGTCTCTTGGCATGATTAGCAATTTGTCATTTTGACTTTCCTCTTCTACCTCACAGGTCATGGAGGTCATTTAAAAAAAATCCAAAATGATTTCTATGGAAATAATTATCCTGCTTTGGGAAAATTTTCTTCTCTTTGGTCTTTCAACTCCTTGCTTTGTTCTTAGATTTCATAATCTCCTGTGTCCATGGTTCAGTTATCTGTCCCTGAAAAGTGAATGGTGCTGAAGTAAACATAGTTACTTTTAAAATGCAATTTAAAAGTCCTCAGAGCATGTATGTTTGTGCTTTATGGTATACATTTAGTTCTTTATGACACAGTTGCTTCATCAGTTGGAAGATATTATGTAAGGAAAAGACCTTTAAAACATATTTCTGTGCCCTCATTTCTCAGCTCTCTGGTCTACTCTTTAGGAAAAAGGAGGTTGGGAGTGGCTATCTTGAATTTGTTATCTTGAATGTGCCACTGGCTGACACATTCTCTTAAGCAGTGGAATCTTTGTGTAATCTCTCTTGAGGCCTTTGTAGCACTTAAAATGGCAAAGTAAGCAAGGTAGTCATGGGTAAAATAATCATAATTTGCCCATAGACTTATACTTGCAAATAATATATGGAGGAGTCCATGAACTAAGTAAGTTGACTCAGTAAAAGTGAAAATATGAACCTTTGTAATTGCACATTTGAAGTTAGTTTTTGGAAAGAATTGGTAGAAAAACTAGTTGAAACAAAAAAGAACTGATTTGTTTATGTGGTTTCTAAATTGTCTGTGTATTCCTGAAAACTAATGGTATAGTTTTTACTTATATTTGATATGTTGATTTGTATTAACATATGTCTTTTACATTTTAATCAGTGGCCTGAATTGTCTGTCAAAATGAGTTTAGAACAAGTAGGATATTCCTGTAATGTTTGTTTATAATAGCAGCTAAAGATGTGCAAGGATATAGCACATCCTAGCAACTTCCAATATAAAAGTTCTTTGAGCAGTTAGCTTTAATAAACAGTACTATGGTCATTTTGAGTGGAAGAATCAGTAATTTCAAGTGGAAAGTCTGTTAGTGTGGTCTTTTGAAGTCTACACTTTACTTCCCTTGTGGATTTGATAATATCAAAGTAAAGTAACATTCTTGGTATTTGCAGATCACACATTCATAAGGCAGCATAATGTGATTAAGCATGGAATCTGAAGTCAGAGTGCCTGAGTTCAAATCCCTTCTTTGCTGCTTACAACCCATGTCATCTTAAACAAATTTCTTAATTTCCCTGAGCTTCTGTTTTCTCATCTATTAAAAAAAATAGCTATTTCAGAACTGTAGTGAGTTAAATAAATTAACCTGTGTTACCATTTAGAATAATGCCTGACAATAAATGTTATGTATGATGTTATGTAAATGTTTTTATTATTGTTGTTGTTGTTTTGAAACAAGGTCTCCCTATGTAGTACAGGCTGGTTTTGAACTCGCTATATAGCTGGCCTCTAACTTGTGATCCTCCTACATCTGCCTCCTAAGTGCTGGGATTACAGGCACGTGCCACTATGGCAGCTATTATTATTATTAATAGAATAGTGTTGAAGGTTCATGACATAATTTGTAATTTGATGAAGTGTATGTTTGAATAGGGCTGCTAAGACAAGAGGGAGTCAACTACGGGTGTTTCAGGTGAAAAGATTTTAAAAAATAGTATACTAGTAGATAATAGGCAATCAACTGATGTTTATAATACAGATAATTGAATTAATGAATCATGGATAAAAATAGAAATAAAGGAAAAAAGAAGAAATAGAAGCTTTGGTTAAATTTGGGTAGTGGAATTTCCTATGATATATGGCCATTAATGTAAAAAGATCATTTAAATATCTCAGTTATAGTCAGGTATAGTGGTGTAAGCCTGTAATACCAGTTACTTAGAAGGTGGAGGCAGGAGGATTAAGAGGATTGTGAGTTCAAGGCCAGCCCGGGAAAGGTTTAGGGGATCCTATCTCAAAAACAAAATGAAAGGCAAAAAGGACTGGGGAGTGTGGCTCAAGGAAGCCCCAGGTTCACCCCCTAGTGTTGCAAAATCAAAACAAAACAAAATAAAATCAGTTGCACTTGGGCCACATTCTGTGGACAAAATTATTTGCTGTAGCAGCAAATTTGAGTGATGATGGCTACATGAGGAAGTTGGAAATTTTTTTCTCCCAAAAAAGTATAAAAGTTGGACAGAATTGGTGAAAGATAGTCATTTTGGTGCTCTGAAAATTGATCAAAGGAAACAACTATTTAACAAGTGTATATGCTTTAAAAATAACTGAATTTTGGAAAAGAACAGTGGGACTCTGGTATTCTTGAGTCAATCTGCTCTCATTTTCCCCTCCCTGCTTGGTCAGGTGCAAGAGTTCTGCCAGGGTGGAGCAGGCCATGGGGGCCAACCCTGAGGCTTCATAAATGTACATAGGAACATGGAAAAGGCTCAGTCGAAAGTAAAAGCTAGAATAGACCAGTTTAGTGGCCTTATCTTCGAATATATTCTCCTACCCATTGGCAGGGGACAGAAGCTTGAATGACTGAGGTATTTGATTATAACCTCTGTTCATTCATTGGTTCACCACTAAGCTATGCAGACACTGAGTGGGGAGGAGGGCTGAAGAACCTGCCCTTAAAAATAAAACTAAAAAGGAAAAAAAACAGATGTCAGGTATACAACACAATGAATATAATGTAGAGAATAGGAGGTTTAACAGATTTACAGATCTAGCTGAAGCAAGCTACCAAACAAAGAACAAACCAACAGTAACGACAATTTTAGTGGGAATAAAAATCAGATTCCAGAGTTGCTAAAATATATTACCTTAAATATCCTGATTCCAGTGAAATGTAATACAAGACATACATACTAAGAAAAAGTATGACTTATGCACAGGGAAAAATGATTTAGTAGACAAAGACATCAAAGAAACTATTAGAAATATCTTCAGAAAATTAAAATTAACTATGTTTAAAGAAGTAAAGTATGGCAGTGAATCAACAAATAGAGATTCTTAAGATAGGAAGTACACTTGCAAAAGAAAAAAATAAGTAGAAGTCTTAAATTGAAAATTATACTGAGTAAAACGAAAAGCTCACCAGAGAAAAAATTCACAGGTGCAAATTCAGTGACAAATTTGACACAGAAGAAGAATCAGTGAACTTGAAGGCAAATCAATAGAAATTACCCAGTCTGAAAAACAGATCAAAAAATTGAAGAAAAATGAACAGGGTCACAAAGACTGTGAGGCAATATAAAAAATTGCCATTGTACATATAATGGAAGTTCCACAAGAGAGGAAAGTGGAAAAGGAGCAGCAAAAACACCTTAGAAAATACCAGAAACTTTCCAGACTTCACGAAAAACGCTAATCTGGACATCTAAGTTCTACAGACTTTTAATAGAAAGATAGGGAGCCACGCTTAGATATATCAGAATCAAATTGTTGAAAGGCAAAAATCGAGGAAAAATTTTAAAGTGGCAAAAGGAAAATCAAGTATTAATGTCTGACTTCTCATTAAATACAGTAAAGGTTAGAGAACAGTAGAATGACATATTCAGTGTGCTGAAAGAAGTAACAACCAAGAATTCAGCAAAATTATCCCTCAGGAATGAAGATGAAATGAAGACATTCCCAGTTAAAGAAAGACTGAGATAATTCATGGCTACAGGTATACATTATAAAAAATACTATAGGATTTCTTTCAGGCGGAAAAGAAATGACAGCAGGCAGTACTTTAAATCTGAGGAGGAAATGAACACTGGAAGTGACAGATGTGAGTTAATAGAAAGGATATATATAAATATATTTGCCTCATTTTCTTCTCAACTTTATGACATAAAATTGTATGTGGCAATAATTATAAAACTATACTATTGGGTTTATATGTAAAAATTAACTCAGTAGCTCCTAGATACACATGCATATAAAACTTTGAGTTAATCCATATATATAAATTTATATAGTCATATGTATTCATAATATAGATATATATAAGCTAAAACTAAAAACTGTAGGAGAAAATATAACCTTGAGTTAAGCAAAGTTAATTAGATATAACACCAAAAGCATGATCCATAAAAGGGAAAATTGATAAAGTAAACTTTGTTAAATAAAAACTTGTATACTTCAAAGGACACCATTAAGAAAATGAAAAACAAGCCACAGACTATGAAAAAATGTTGGCAAATCATGTATTTATTCTTGCATTCAGAATGTATAAAGAAGTCTTGTAATAAGACAGAGCTTTTAAAAATGAGCAAAGAATTAGATGTTTTACCAAGGAAGTTATATGAATAACTAATCTGGCATGAAAAGATGCTCAGCATCATTAGTCATTAGGGAATGCAAATTAAAACCATAATAAGATATTGCTCAGACCCATTGGAAGGGCTGTTATCAAAAAGACAGACCCAGCGTTGTTGAGAACGTAGAGAAACTGAACCCTTATACATTGCTGCTGAGGGGAAAGTAAAATGGTACAGCACTGTAGAAAAGTTTGAAGCTTACTATGTAACCCAGAAATTCCATTCTGAGGAACATACTCAAAATAAATGAAAACATATGCCACACAAAGGAATATATATGAACGTTAATGCAGCATCATTCAGGAGAACCCCAAACTGGAACGTCCAAAGGTCCATTGCTGGTGAGTGGGTTAACAAAATGTAGAATATCCAAGCAGTGGAATACTATTCGGAAATTAAAAGTTAATACCTGCTACAATGTAGATGAATCTCAAAAGCATATGGAGTGAAGGAAGGGAACTGCAAAGACTAAATAGTAGTTTATGATTCCGTTTACATGAAATGTCCAGAAAAAGCAGTTCAGTGGTGCCTGGGACTGGAGATTAACTGCATATGTCATGAGGAAATATTTTAGGGTCATGAAAGTGTCCTAAACTCAGATTGTGAGGAAGCTGCACAACTCTAAATCATTGAATTATGTACAAATCATTGAGTTGTATACTTACAGTAGATGAATTTTACAGAATGTAAAGCTATCAACACAAAAATCTGAGGGTGTACAGATGTCTCACGGCACATTCTTCCAACATGCCCAGGGTTCACTCATATAATTGCATATAGTGACTTCTGTTTTTCTGTATTAACAATCTTGTGTGTATGACATTATTAACTTATTTTACACATGATTCTCATTTCTGAAGAACTCCAGACCTGTTTCAGCCATTGTATCAAATCATCTCATTTCATTTGGAACTGTTGGGGATACAAACTATCTTGTTCAGACTTTAGGTAAAGTTTAGTTCCAAGGCAGGGTAGTTAGGAACTGAAAGACTTACTGTACCTCCCTGACTTCCAAATCTTGAAGGAAAAGTAACTCTCTCTCAGAATTGAGTGCAACACACACACACATTTTATTTATTTTATTTTAAAATTTTATTTATTATTTTATTGTATTATTTAATTTAATTTTAATTTAATTTAATTTAATTTTTATTTTATTGTGCTTGGGATTGAACCTAGGGCCTTCCACATACTAGGCAAGCATTCTGCCAATGATCTATGTCCCCAGCCCTTGTTTTTTTTGTTTATTTGAGATAGGGTCTCACAACATAACCCAAGCTGGCCTTATACTCATGATCCTCTTGCCTCAGCTGAACTTGTGATTCTCCCGCCTCAGCCTCCTGAGTGCTGGGATTAAACACATGCCCACACCTGGCTTAGTGCAGTCTTTCAGATACGCCCACAACTACACAGCCTGAGTGGCGTTAGACATAGCTCCCTTACAAAAACACACTGTAATCAACTCCATTTGTCACTGTAGAAAAGTTTGAAGCTTACTATGTAACCCAGAGGTTACTATGTCACTGAGGTTGACTTTAGAAGCTCATTCCTTTCATGTGTTCTGTTTTCCTTTGATTCACAAGTTGGATTCCTGTTTCTCACTAAATCCTCTTTTTCAGCTCTTGCAGTTCAACCCTGTGGAACGTCTGGGTGCTGGAGTTGCTGGTGTTGAAGATATCAAATCTCATCCATTTTTCACTCCTGTGGATTGGGCAGAATTGATGAGATGAACAACATTCACACATTCTAATATCCTCTGTAACAGGCATCTCTGGTATAGCAGCTCTGCCTTACAGTCTTGTATGGAGCACCAAAGCATTTGGACAAGGACCTTTGGAGGAAATTAGGAGGTGGGAGGCTAAAAGATTCATTTTTAGTTACTGTCTAGGCTAGAGATTAGTCACTTTTGCCAGTGGCTGTTTTATATACCTGTAACCAAGAATGTGACTTAATTTAATATACATTTAGGGTTGAGGTGTGTTTCATACTCAAGTGAAATAGGAATGCCCTTCAAGAAGTTCTCCTCTGTGAAGCCCTAACGAAGAATGACGTTTTACTGGAAGAAGGAACTTTACATGGCAGCTACAGTGCTCCTGCTAACTGGGGTTGGTTCATACGATCAAGACAATATTGCTGACTAATACACTAAAAAGTGCTTCAAGGACACTGTCATTCATGGGACTTTACAAAGTGCAAAAAAAAAAAAAAAAACTCATACTGCCTGAAAGGAAACCTGTACTGTGATGCTACATAATTAATGCATTTTGAATGGGGTCCCAGATTACTTCTGTGTGGAGAGAATACTTTATGTTGCCAATTTTTAACTTTGTTGGCTGACACTGCTAATTTTGAGAAGGTTCACATAAACACTAGTTTCTCTCTGGTCAAGCTCATCGTTCTTTCCCATCTCCATTTCCTGCTCCCTTTGCTTACTCTCTCAGATTCTCTTCTTTCCTACTTCTACTAACACACATGCAATGAAAAAGTGAAGGGAGTATTTATTTCTACAAACTGTATCAACTTGATAAGGACTAAGAAATCATGATATAAAGTAAATGTGGTAAAATGTAGTTGTCTCTTTCATTTAATAGCTTAAGATTTAAATTTTTTTTCTGTTTCGTTGGTCAATATTATCAGTTTCGGTGGCTTCCTCTTATACTTGACTTCATTTTACTTTTTGGGTCGGTATACAAAGAATCAAGGAATTTCATCTAAATGGAATTGATGGCAGTCCTATTTTATTACTTATAGTGATGAGATTTCAGATCTGAATGTCATATCTACTTCACATTATTTAGAAAGAATATGAGTCTCTGTAAATCTCCAAACATTCCTACATATTATTTATGTTGCTAAAATAGCTCCTGTAGTCATGTATCGTTTACAAACATTTACAAATGTTTTAAAAGTATTACTGTCTGTTTTGTAAACTTTTATCCAAACATGAAACAATATGGTACTATTTTCAAGTTAGAGGCCATCGTTGAAATAGTCTTTTTTTTTTCTTTCTTTCTTTCTTTCTTTCTTGTGGTGCTAAACCAGGGCCTCCTGCATGCTAGGCAAGCCTGTACCACTGAACTTCACCCCCAGCCCCAGAAATTATTTGTTTTAGTCCTCATATTTTTTGAGATCTGTGTGAGATAGCCCACCCTGATTCCAAGAGCATCTGCACAGCATCCATCTGCCATCACCCAGGTCCTCCCATCAAATTAAGTGGAAGCAGAAAATGCCTTAGTGAATCAAAGGAAATGTGCAAGCATTTTCCCTTTTTCTATTATTCTCCCCTTTTTCCTTTTTGGTCCCCTTATAACCTGAAACCCAGCTGAAGGGCTACAACAACATCAGTTTGGAGAGCAGGTCACCAGGATCAGAGCTCAGTCAAGATGACATCACTCCCTGGATTTCAACTCACCAGTCCCCTGGCCTCATAACAGGAACTCGTGCAGGTGAGACAGAAGAATGACTTCCTGTGGAGGTCTAGTAGGAAACCTGCAAGTACTTAGAGCTGGCCATTACAGAACTCACTTCCTTCCAGAAGTGCGCTGTGACATGAAAGTCAGACTTCACAACTAAGGTGAGGATCCCTGCCCTGCCACATGATTTGGACCCCTGGATTCAAAGGACAGTAATGACAACAGATGGCTGTCAACACAGTTCCACTGCTTTAGTGTCTCCCTCTTTTCTCTGTATGTTTGATTGGAGCTTGTGCTTAATGTAAATTCATCATTGGTAATCATGGTGGACATGAATTGTTCTAGTAACAAACACATAGGAAAAGACCATGACTTGAAACCCAAGCTATTTTTATTTTAAACTCTAATAGTATGAGTGATAATGCTTCTGTTGTTGTTTTTGTATTTTGTTTGCTTAAGCAGGTGAATAGAGTATGAGTCAAAATCATAAAAGAAATTGCCCGTTAGTATTTCTCATCTCATTTTTTTATTATGGTAAAATATATAATAAATTTTGCCACTCTATTTTAAGTGTATAAGATTCAGTAATAGCATTAAGCACATTCACATTTTTATGCAACCATCATCACTATCCATCTCAACGTTTTTTAAATCATCCCTACTGAAACTCTGTACCTACTACACAATAACTTCCCATTCTCTTTCTGCAGTTCCTAGTAACCACTAGGAACTCAAGTTCTTCATATAACTGGAATCGCATCTTTGTTTTTTTGTATCTGGCTTGTTTCACCTTAGCATGAAGTTTCCATGGTCCATCCATCCATGCTATAGCATGTATCAGAATTTTCCTCCTTTTTAAAGCTAACTAGTACTCCGTTGTATATATATACCACATTTTGTTTAGCCATTCATGTGTCGACATTTGTGTTGTTCCACCTTTAGGCTGTTGTGAATAATGCCATTATGAACACGAAGGTATAAACAATCTGTTTAAGTCTGTTCTTGCTTGGTTTTATATTTTTATATGAAATTATCAATGTCATTGACTATTATTTTATCATGCTGTTTATATAAGGGTTTTTCCAGACAGGCTGCCACTTACTATGGTGCAGTGCCACTTCTCTTAGGCTATGACTTGAAAATTTACCATCTCTGTTTTACATGTGGGAAGTTAAGCTTCTAAGTAAAAGAGAATGCCCTTCACTTTAGCAGTTTGCTGTAACTATGACAGACCTTTTGAGACATAGGTCTTTTCAACTTGTTGTAATGACTGAACTCAGTTTTTTTTCTTTTTTGGTGGTACTGGGGTTTGAACTCAGGCTCTCACATTTGCTAGGCAGGCACTCTACCACTTGAATCATGCCCCTAGCTCCTAAACTAAAAAGTTTTATTTTTAACTGACAAATGATAGTTATACATATTTTTGGGGTACACTATGATGTTTCGATAGGCATCATGGAGTGATCAAATCAGACTAATTAAATCCATCACCTGAAATACCAACTTGTTTCTTTACAGTGAGACTTTAAATCTATTCTTTTATCAGTTCTAAAATACACATTCTTAACAATAGTCACTGTACTGTTCAATAGGTCATCAGAACCTCTTCATCCTAACTGAAACTTTGTTCCTTTGACCAGCGTCTCTTGCCCTGTCCATCACCTTCCCTCTTGTGACCACCATTCATGAACAACTTCATGAACTAACTGAAATCTTGGTAATGTATTTCAAACTGCCTTTTAATTCCTGTTGTGTTTTGACCCTCAAGCTTTTCCTATCCCATCTTATCTCTGGGTCAGTGTGAACCAAGATTGCTTTCATGCAATGCATGTACTGAAGATTATACAATTTATAGATAACTTTCAGACTATGACTGGTAACACTGTGTTAGGACCCACATATAGTATACCTTGGTTGAATTCACTTGAAAGTCTTACTATAGCACTGAAAGGCTCTTTGCCTCCCAGGGGCTCCTTACAGCATCATTATTGAACTCATTTAGGAATGACTTCCTCATGGAGGCCAAAGCCTAAGATTGATCATCTTTCTTTTTTAGAGAAGTTGATTTAACCTCTGGTTTATCTAAATGCTGTGGGTAATGGAGCCTGTTATTTCAAGCTCTTTCCTTGAGGATTGTGGAATATAATGGAAAGTCTTAGAGTGGTGCCCTGGTCATGTCTCTGTGACTAATTATCCTTATAACCTTAATCAAATAACACTGTTCTGGATCTGTTCTCTCACCTGCAGAATAAGAGGGTAGGTGAGTTCTGAGCTCTAAAAGTACAGGATGAATTTTCTATTTTCTGGAGTGAATAGGATAAACCAACATTGTAGAAAGACAAGGTTAATGAAAATCTTAAATTGGTGCTTAACTGTTTTCTTATAATTATTCTTCTATTAATCCTAGGCTTGGGTTGCTGCCATATACCCACTCAGTAGCATAGCCCTTGGTGCTTATATGGCTATAAAAATTATAAATGGAATGAAATAGTAGGAGGTTATTTCTCTGTCAGAGCTGCATTAGAAAGGAGAGTTGAAGGTCCAGATAGAAGTCCATGGATGTGAATGGAGGTTAGGACATACCTATATTTGCTCACTTACTGGCCCTTTCTAGATAACTGTCGTGGGATTCCTTCCCCTGTTGCCCTCATCTATCATATTTTATGTGTTTTTGACTCAGTACTTTGGCAGGCACAAAGTAGACAAAATTGATACTTTCTGTTCCTATTTAATGCAGAACATTAACTTCTATGAGTCTGGGTAATTTGGGTTTTTGAGTATTTGAAGTCTGCTCAGCTAATTTTGAGAATTTCATATTATGTCCTCATGTTGAAGGGCTACTGAATGGCAAAGGCTGTGAAGTCAGCTCTTTATAAATAAAGTTGTGAACATAATAGCAGTGGAAAATGGGAAGCAGAGTGTACTACAGCATGTGTGAGTCAGCACCACTCATTCTCTCAAGGACAGTAAGTAGGAAAACAGAACCAGCTTCCTTTTCAGTAAGATTTACCACAGTAGTGACAGATAGTCAGATGGGAAGGCCTAGCATTTTTGTCTCCACCACATGACTTCTTCCCTTGATCTAGGTGTCTCATCTCAGGGAGAACTAGAAACAGAGATGTGTGGAGGTAGAACAGAGAAAATAGCTTGATTGGGTTGGTCTGGGGCAATGCAACTGTGCCCTTGTCAGGTGTTTTGGCCCAGGTGTGTAGAGTAGTGGAGAGCCTTCTTTGTTGAGCTGGATTTAAAATGCAACTGTGTTCTTCCCTCAGGAGCAATCAGGCAGAAACAAAGTATTCCTGCTGTCCCTGTAACAAAGATAACTGGCCTGCCTTGGGATGGATGAAGTGATATGCTTACTAAGAGTCAGTTATAGCTCTGTCTTCTTGCTGAAGGCAGTTGGCATGCTGGAAGTGAAGGAAGAGGCCAGTGAGTGTCTGTAAAGGGCTGCTGTGGTTTCTTTGGGGGCAGGAATTCCTGTTAATGTAGTAAGAAAGAATGATAAATGAGTCAGCTTTCAGACACACTTAGAATTCCTAGCACCCTGCTCTTATAAATATATATAAAATAAATAAATAAATAAACTTAAGTCTTCTAAGAATGTCGATCAGATTCTTTTGAAAGCTTGGGTATTTGGTAGGGTTAGAAATCCACAAAGCATAAATTTTGTCAGAGCAAAAGAGGCAAATTTCAAATGGGCTTAAAGGAGTTGAGCTTGTTTCAGTGCCAGTAGAGTGACTGAAATATGACATTGTCCTGGTAACATGGAGATGCATAGAAAAGTGAACTACTAGAGATAGAAGACTAGAAGAAAAGGAGGTCTAGAGTTGGCAAAACATTTAAAAAATTATATAACATGTAGTTTCTCAGGATTGTTCCAGAAAGAAAAAGATACTTGAATGATTTCTTTTTAGCAAAAAGTTTCTTTTTAAAAAAATTTTTTAATTTTTATTTATTTTTTTCATTTCTCCCCCCTTCCCCCACCCTCTCCCTTACCCCTCCCACCCCCTCGCTACCCAGCAGAAACTATTTTGCCCTTATTTCTAATTTTGTTGAAGAGAGAGTATAAGCAATAATAGGAAGGACCAAGGGTTTTTGCTGGTTGAGATAAGGATAGCTATACAGGGAGTTGACTCACATTAATTTCCTGTGCATGTGTGTTACCTTCTAGGTTAATTCTTCTTAATCTAACCTTTTC